AAAATACTTAAAGCCTGTAAAAAGATGACTATTAGCATTACAGTCTCAGTACCTTCTCTTAACTGTCATGCAGATATTTACAAGCATCAGTGATTTGAATAAATATAAATTCTATTAAATACCACATATACCTTTTCTTCAATGTATTCATATTTTTTAATATAGAAAATCTAGGAAACCATGTTGATCATTATACAACAATATTTTAATGAACTCACAAAATTAACTAAAAGATAACCTCAAAGTATCACTTTCTGAAGTCCACATTTGCATTTTTAATTATTGCTATATTTTTCACTTTAGACTACGAGGAGTTTCATAATTACGAACTACCAGTTGGAAAAGAGATGACTAAATAGATTCCTTGATATTTATCTTCCAATCATATGACATAATCACAAGCTTATTTTACCTCTTATTCTGAAAAATAAATGTTATTTCTACTGACAATTTAAACAGAAATGAATAAACACTGCTGTAATTAAAAGCCACCTGAGAAAGCGTAACCTATTCATTATCAAATTTGTATTGATGAAATCTGTCTTAACATTATAGCCATTACATTTTCTTTAGTCACCAATGAGCATAAAATGACAGGAAATACAGTACTGCCAATTAGAACTACAGGTTCCCAAACTATAGCAAACATATCTTGACAACACAGTCCAAGGCATTTTTAAGACAGATAAACTTCCAGGCATAAATCATTGTGCATGTTTCTGGGTGAAGTCACAGTGCACTGTTTCCACTTCACTGATGGATATGGATATGGCTAAAAATAGATATACTATAAATGACAGTAAATCAGCTAATCTACAAAATTAAGTAGAGCACATTCTGTGAAATTCTGTGAAATTAAGTATCCAAATGATACTTGGATAGTTTGAGCAGACTTTCAGACGATCTACTGCATTCTTCCAACCTAATCTACAGACTGGAATCCAGCTTCCCATTCCACTGAACAAAACTATTTGGATAACCCACCAAAACTGTTGAGGCAGCTGGATCAAAGAGGACCCAAAAAGACATATACTGTTCCTAAAGCTCATAGCAAAACAATGTGTTAGGCCTTAGGGCTCCTTCTTTAGTTTTGAGCTGCTGTACTGAGACTAAGCATTCACACTGTTGGCTGGAAAAAGAAGTATCCTTCCTCTGTGTAAATGAAATTACAGATCTTGTAATTACAGACCCACAGATGGCAGAGATGTTCTCTTACATGTTCAGCCAGGACTAATTTGAACTGCCTAAGAGAAGGAGTCAAGGATAGATTCTTCCTTCAATTCCTAATCCACTCTATCCAAAATTGTCAAGACTATTTTATGTTAAATTAGTAACTGAAATAACCTCCAGACAAAAAGAGGAAAAGTAGTCATAAAGCTTTCTAAAAAATATGTTTTGATGCAAAATAGGAAATTATGACAATTATCTGTGTTCCTTACAAAGTTTCCAGGATTTTGAGATCTTTGAAATGTCACTATCTAAAAACCACAAAAAAATCTTCAAGAATATTCATTAAAAACAGAATATTCATTAAAGCAGGCATATTTTGTTTGTCATCTACCTGGCACTAACTGAAACTCAACAACCATGATGGAAACATAATACCAAAGAAAGCACTGTAACATACAAAATCCCAGAAAACATCCATCAAATTATCAGAAGTGAAAGTACATTAAGTCAGGCTTCCATCTGTCTTCAGGTTTTTGATCAGGGTATAGTTTGTTATGAAAAACAGTAAATACATATTTACACTATGGCTTACTTTACAACCTACTCAAGTTAATGTCACAATACAAAATCATGCCTCAAATATATTACTTATTTAAATAATAGTTTTAATGAATCTCTATTATACAATGACTGCATGCATTAAGTTAATTTTAAAAAACTTGAAACACCATCTGATAGAACGTGATAGGATTACAAAATGCATTTTGATACTAGTAATTACACAGAGAGTAATTGTTCATAATTTACTTTCCTTTCAAAATACACAAATAAAAAGGCATAAGTGCTATGCTTATTGAATTATTATACCTACTTATACTCATGGTATATGCTTACATATTTGTGTGACCAGAGACACATGTATTGTATGCATATGTATTAACACATACACACGTACATATCCACTAACACACTGTGAATTACATTACCATGGTTTGTGCCTTCACGTGTTCCTTGTATTTTTAAATGGTAAGCTATCAGAACAATGTTTCCTCATGCTGTTGATGAGGCTTGTCTCTGACTAACTTTTGTGTGCTACTGTGACACAAATGTGCAATAATGGTCCCTTGTGGGTATTTTTCCAACAACAGTGAGTAAAGCATGATGACTCTTCCAAAATTTAGTAAAAATTTATGATTTTGCTCAAGTTTTGAGAAAGTATTTTCCTACAATGTGTATGTCAAATTAGAGATATGTGAATTATCCTATGGGATTAAAAGTTATGCAAAAATTTTTTAAATTTGTTACCAGCATTTTGCATATCAGCTATCAAAAGTTCTGTAAGAGGAAAATGAGAAGGTAAGTTACTACAGAATAATAATCTCAGGAACACACAAGCATCTGATATTAAACTTATTCCTTTTCACTCTAGTTTTATACCTCATGTCTTTTTATTCCTTTTTGTCTTATTTGTACTTTTACACACAAACTAAAGACACAACAAAGACAAAAGAACTTCATTGTACATTTTAACTAGATTACTTCTTAAATATTCATTACCATGATGTGTTCCAGTTTGAAAATCTAAAACCATTCTAATTGTTTCACTTCCTAAGGCATCCCCTTTCAAAAGCAGTGATTTTGTTATTTAACAGACAACACATGTGTACTTGCTGTTTTGCTGTTGATCATACAACTTCCCCTCCTATTTCCCAAGTTAAAGAAATACAGAAGGAATATATAGAATGTGCCTTTTTTAATTTTTTTTATTTTGTTGTCTATGAAGGATACGGATTGGAGTTCAAATTTTCTACCCAAGGACTCACTACCAGTCTGTGAAGGTTAAGGGGCTTGAATGGAGGAAGTTTATTTCCACCATGCAAAGGACAGGTCTGTGTTCTCTCCTTATATATGGTATCCACAAGATTTATGGATACAGAGTGAAAACATTCCACCTTGTTACAGAAAGAACTCCCATTGCAGAAAAGACCCAAAGAAAGCTATTCCATGCAAAAGAGGAAGAAATGCTCAAAAGGTGAGAGAGGGGAAACGGGAAACATGGGAAGAAATAACTGATAACACAACTCTGTGAAATTATCATGCAGGTGCTTTTCTCTGTGGTAGATAACATGCGTATAACAAGTGTAACCCAAATCTAAATTTAGAAATGCGTAGTTCTGTCTGATGGTATCTCACATACATATAAATCAATGCTCTGTGTTCCACTCTGCTTCTAATTTACAACCTAGTATTTTTCTGTACATACCATCTGAAGTAGCAATGCCTCTGGTAGGACAATTTTATATTCTGGTCAAGTAGAACAGTATTGTCTGAATTGAAGGTTAAGCAGATTGCATGTGAGCACCCATGACCAGTGAAAAAAATCTCTGTTTATTAGCTGGCCAAAGGAGTACAATGGTCCTTGAAATAAAAGATAATCAAGCGTGCCACTAATGTGCTTACCTTTTGATATCTAATCTGCCTTGTTACCTACTCTGCATAGATTCAAGAAGTAATTTCAGTATGCATACACTGGCTTTTAAAAATGAAGGGAAATTTCTCCAGGCAGGAAAGCTAGGCTAAACCTACATTGACTTTAGGGTACTAAACTTGTAAACAAGCTTATCTCTGGCATGGTTTTGAACACTCACACTACTATTTTGAGACTTGGGCATCCACTGTTTTGCAGGCAGTCTGCATGTCCTTTTTCTTCAGCATATGATGCATCCTGACATATATAAGCATTTGCCACAGGAACATACATGAGACAGTGGGAATGCTCAATCAGTCACAGCATACACAGACCCTGTATAGTCAAGGTAAATTCATGCTTGGATACAAGGCAAATAATAGTGCAAAAATATTTCCTCTTCAGAATTCATCAAAATTTGTTTCTAAACAAATATGAGCATGGGCTCATGAATGTTAGGCAAATCTGGGCTTTCATATAGTTAGTTAGGTTAATTGGTTGAATTGCACTTCAGGTATAGTGAGATTGATTTCACACCTATCTCAGACATATTCTAATTTTTATCCTTACACGGTGAATCTTAATACAGTATAATCTGTAATTTTACTTTGTGGAATTGAGAATAGATCAGATAGCATATGACTATGTCTTTGAAAAAGATAAAAAGATAGAGGTGATGACTTTCCAAGCTCACTATTGAGTTGCAAAAGGAATCAAAACAGTATATATACAAACAATGTCTCTGGAGATGATCATCTTACAAGAAGGGCCTTTGTACAGAAACCAATGAGAGTTTGAACATGAATTTCAACAGTGAAAGAGCTACATCAGTATTTAAATATTTTGTGAAAAAAAATTTTTATTTACATGCTGAGACTTCCTTCCTTGTCTTATATCAAATGGTGGTTTTTTAGGGAATATCTATGAAAGTAGCTTCCTAAAGACACGTTAAGGATTGTCAGTAATTACTGGCTAGCTTGAACAAAGGTGACAATGAAATTAACACTTTGAAGTAATATTTAGTTTATAAAATTTTATTCTAGAGCTTTGTCTTTTATACCTCAGTGGCATGCTTTGACATTTTTTATGATAAAGATGTAATAATAAAAACAATAAATAAATAAGTTAGGCTCCAGTTCCATATGAATTAAGGTCTAGGAGAACCCTCTGCCCTCCACAATGAATTGAAATTGAAATGTTTCGCTGCTGTAACTTGAGATACACAGGAACAGATAAGGACATTAAACTTCTGCCTTCTTCTATTTGTGCATATTGTTTTACATTTCAAGTAGGCTTGCTTAAAAGACATTACAAGATATATATGCTTATATGCATAGGGATAAAGTGAAATACTTGTTCATACCTTCAAAGTATCCAGCATTTACAGGCTGTGTCTTCTTTGGAGATTTCACATGGAGATGTTTATTTTCATTGTTTTTGAACAACGCCAGGCGCACAGCTGGGTCTAGATGACAAGAACAAGTTAAAATCAAAGGTCAGACCTGGCTCATTCATTCCTTCAAGCAATTTTTCACCTTTTAGCCACTTAATAAATGAAAATACCTTTAAAAGTAGGTTATATATTCACAAAGGATTACACTTTCTAAATAAAGCAATATAAATACATATGCAACTGAGAATCAAAGTCACTATTGTACAGGATTTTAACACTGTTGATCTTTTAGCTCCCTCACCTCCAAATTAAAAATAAACTCTAAAGCATATATTTGCAGAAAATATTTTTTAAAAATCTAGTTTCAAAGTTTGAAATTAAAGTAGAAATATTAACAGGATACATGCCAAGCAGTATTTCCAAAAGCTTTGGTTCAGAATTATTCAGCAGTCTAAATCAAGACATATATACCTAAAAAATATTAAGGAGGTATTTTATTTTTTCAGGCTCAACTTGTAGATGATAATCTAGTCTTCCTCCATGTCCCATCCTAACTGAAATAAAAAAATACCCCAGAAGTCTACAGATTCATCTATATGCCAGAATATGAAGTTGTGATAAGTTTCTGAACAGTTACTTTGAAAATGTTGCAAAGAAGCAAAGATGAGCACAGAATTGTATATATATCTAGATAAGACACGTTCCTACACTGGAAGAAAAATATAAAGTTTAATTAGCAAAAGGTAAACATGCAAAACCCACACAAGTCAGTAGAGGTGATTTTCATGTATTATTTCTGATGTGAATGAAGAATTGGTTGCTTGGTATAGGAGGAAAGTAGGAGCTTAAGGGAACAGAGCATTAGAAGAAATGTGAAAATTCTGAGCACAGTGCAGAATAAACTGCCAGTTATTAAAAAGAAAAAAAGGTCTGAAAAGAATATAGACATAAAAGAAGATACACAATGACAAGTAAAAGCATATAGGGTTTTGTATGTGTGCCACTGAGCATGATAACATGAGTAACAGAAAGCCAAAGGAAAACTAGAAGAAATATGTTTGACGTGGTTATAAGAAGACAAAAGCCCAAGCAGATACCCTCTTGTCAGTATCTGAGAAACAATGACACAGATGAAGTTTGTCTACAAAGGTGACTACAAACTGTCTAAAAAGGGTAGAAATTAATAAAGATCATAAAAAAAGCAGTGGAGTTTATCAGGAAGGTGGATATGGCAAGAGAAGGATCTAAATTTTCACAAAGAATACAGGTGTAGCAAAAACGAGCATGTGAGACACTGTCAGAACAGACAGAGAAGGAAAATAGAGGTTATGGAAAGACTCAAAGAGCACACAGACAAAACAGATTTAAATTACTCATTATATCTGGTGCTTCATTTTGAGCCTGTTAGGTGACCTTTTTAGTATTTATTTAGAGACTTTATAAGAGCATCTTATAATAATGCAGTAAAGTAAGTAGCTTGTTTGTTTTCTTATTTCTAGAAATAAAGGATCAGAATGTCCTATTAAGTTGGTAGGCAACTTCTTATGAATTTTAACAATAATTTGTAAAGTTGGTTTTGATTAGAACTCTACATTTGTAGTAGACAATTCAATTACAAACTAATAGAGCTTAAAAGCATTCTAGGAGCTCAACTTTTTCTCAAGAGAATGCTGTCTCGACGCAAGCAGACACACTGTATGTAAGTTTGCCTTGTAAGCCCAGAGAAGTTCTCTAGTGGGATGTGGCATTGCAAGAGATAATGTAATGACAAAACTCATCCAAATTCTATGTTGTTCTTGGTCAGCCAATGCTGCAGTAGCATGTGGTTGACAGAATGTTCTTAGTGGTGCTAACCTCTCACAAAGCAGCAAACTTGACTAATGAAGGAATCATGGCAAGTGGGGAGGGAAATCATTTAGGCCATGACTTGTTCCAAAGACAGAATTAGGGATACCTTACACTTTGTTACCTCAAATTGTCTATGAAGAACCTCTCTCATTTTGTTGTAGGATGATTATAGCTTTCAGATTAACTCAAACATTGTCATATTTAAAGTAACCTTAATTTATTTTTATAGCTAAATTCAATGAACTGATCCAAGAAGCATAAAAAATAATTATTAGCTCCATTAGATTCTGATACTGAGATCACTTCATTCACAAACTGGATTACCAGACTTGTAGATATTTTCACTTTGTGCAAATGCAAAAATTAGCCTTACTTTGGCATGTCTTCCAACTAAAAAACAAATCAATAGCAGACTAGCATTCTTCAGGGTAGTAAATATTTGGTACAGTGCATCACAGTAAGATTTGTGATAAAAATATCTTGAAATAGTACTACATTGTATTTTAAAAGTTCTTTCTGAAATTTTAGATAACAGAATTTACAAAAATATTTTAAGTAAAGTATGAATTAGTTTTGTCTTTTCTATAGTTGTAAGATACATGGCCATACAAGTCCTACACATGGATAAAAATGTACAGGATAAAATTTTTTATAATTGTAATTTTCCCAACATTCCACATTCAGTGTTGATAAAAAGACTTCTTCTTTCAGCTTTATACCAGTTAGAAGAACCAGTGTCTTTCTTCAATAGAAAACCAAATACAAAGTGACAAAATCAATTAAAACCTCATAAGACAAAATGCAATTGCGGATTCCAAAGTATTTTTGATTAATTTAAAAGAATTCCTGAAATTGCACATTTTTTCCCTATGTAGGTCTACTGACATTGTTCCAAGCAGTTTTAAAAATATCATCTTTCCTTAATCCAACCTCCCAGCCAATTCTATGAAAAAACCATAAATCCAAAGGTCAGTTATACCATGGATTTTGGGTGAAGGCACACAAAGTTATCAGTGCCAAGTTTGATTTTCCAAAAATTTATCTGTGCACAAAGATAACAGCAGTAAAGGTCCGTGAACTGGGAAGAGGAGAAAATAATGGAAATTGTTCTTCTAACAGATTTCTATCTGAAGATTTATCTTTGAATCTTTGCAAAATAACTTAAATAATCTATAGGGATTTAACACAGTGCCAGACTACTTGAATTTGTACCTACCTGGATCACCTCAACCATTGCCTACAGCTCTTTTGTTATTAAAAATGAGTCCTTTTCTTTATTTAGTTCAAAATGTAGGCAATATTACATAGATTACTTCATAATACTTTTCAGTCTCTGAGTGAACTAGGGAAATGAACTGCATGTATGCTTCGATGACAAGCAATCAAATGTTTTAGATTTCACACAGAGAACTGTGAAAGAGTCCAATAGTTCAAAATCATACAAATATCTTACTGGATTCTGCCATACTGATTTAAATGGGGTTTATTAGGTGATGATCTGTGCTGGCAATCTGTAAACCAGGGAGGTAATTTAATGCACATTGCTTGGCTGCCTTCAAGTATAGAAGTTAAGTTGGAACAACACAATAAATGTTATGGAAACAATATGGAAGGAATAGTTACTGCCTAATCTGGCACCACATTTCTGAACACCTTCTCGGTAATACTGAAACTAAAAAAAAATTAAGTGTTTGTCATTAATATTTGTTGCACAATATCTGTAATTAGGAAAACACAAGTATAACTGTGACAACTTTAAAGGGTTGATAAATCAAAGTAGAACACAGCAACAAATGCTTATTGGTAATTATAATTTGTAAATTAATTTGGAAGAAAGACCAGATTTTCTTCCATAATTGAACAGCAACTATAACTCCAGTTGATCTATGGTTGGAGTTCCCAGATGATACTGCTACATGGAATAGACAGTCACAACAAAAGCAGCTCTCTTTCTGCTACTAAGAAAATATATAACAATATTCATTTATGTAATGTGTAACAAGGATTAATTATATACCCCAAATTTTTATCCTGACTGCTGTTAAGTCAGATCATCTGTTTTGGGTTTGCAGGTTTTGAGGGAGGTAGGTTTTTTTGTTGGTTTTTCTTTATTTCATTCTTTAATTAGTATTGCGTTGCTGTCTGAAACTCTAAACACAAACTAAAAAATATTTACTGACCTCTATGACATATCTTTTTTATTGTGCTCTGGTTCTAGTGAACAGAGCTTTTCACTTCATCTGCTTTTCACCTTTCTTTTTTTTTTCCTCCTACCTATGTGGCATCAAAAATTACCATAGAATCATAGAATCATTAAGGTTGGAAAAGACATCCAAAATCATCAAGCGCAACCTTTGACTGAACACCAACATGCCAACTAAAGCATAGCGTTAAGTGCCACATCCAGTCATTTCTTGAATACTTCAAAGGATGGTGACTCCACCATATCCCTGTACAGCTCGCTCCAATGCTTAAATACCCTTTCAGTGAAAAAACTTTTCCTGATGTCCAGCCTGAACCTCCCCTGGCAACACTCGAGGCCATTTCCTCTCACATGTCACTTGTTGCCTGGGAGAAGAGGCAGACCCTCACCTGGCTACAACCTCCTTTCAGGTAGTTGTAGAGAACAATAAGGTCTCTCCTGAGAGTCCTTTTCTCCAGGCTAAACAACCCCAACTCCCTCAGCCACTCCTCATAGGACTTACTCTCTAGATTCTTCACCAGTTCAGTTGCCCTTTTCTGGACACACTCCACCACCTCGCTCTCTTTCCTGTAGTGAGAGACAATCACTTCCCTGATCCTGCTGGCCACACTATTCTTGATATAGGCCAGGACGCCACTGGCCTTGGCCCCCTCAGCACACTGCTGGCTCATGTTCAACCAGCTGTTGACAAGCCTTTTCTTTTGGGCAGTTTTCCAGCCACTCTTCATCAAGCCTGTAGCTCTGCATGGGTTGTTGTGACCCAGGTGCAGGACCTGGCACTTGGACTTCTTGAACCCCATACCACTGACCTCAGCCCACCGATCCAGCCTGCCCAGAGCCCTCTGCAGAGTCTTCCTACCCTTCAGGAGATCCACACTCTAACCCAACTTAGTGTTGTCTATGAACTTACTAATGGTGCCTGTGATCCCCTCGTCCAGATGATCAATAAAGATATTAAACATGACTGGGCCCAGTACTGATCCCTGGGGGATACCAGTGGTGACCATCCAGCCAACTGGATGCAGCACACTTTTAATCCAGGAAAGGGTTCAGCTGTCCAAGCCATGGGCCACCAGCTTCTATAGGAGAATGTTGTGGGAGAAGGTATCAAAGACATCACTGAACTCCAGGTAGACTATAACCACAGCCTTTCCCTCATCCACTAGGTAGGTTACCTGGTCATAGAAGGAGATCAGGTTGGTCAAGTAGGACCTGCCTTTTCTAAACCTTTGCTGGGTGGGCCTGATGCACAGATAAGAGACTATTTTTTTGGAGAGGAAAGGGTTAAAAAAGAAATACTACAGCAGTGTGAGACACGCTGAAAGTAAGCCATGGCTTTCAGCCATCTTAAAAGGAAAAGAAGTTAACTTTCAGAGGCTAGTATAAAATTCACAGAAACAAGGAAATTCCAAGTTAAGCAAGAAATTCTGTGCTGCTGTGCCAAGACATCTTCAGGAAGCTAGGATTGCTATGAGTCACAGACACTTAATGTTAAAACACAGTGAGGTGCATTAATGTCTACTTCATTTAGATTTTGAATTAGAATTTGTATAGAATTTTATGAATCCATGATGAACAGAAATATTTCTGACATTATGACAGTTTTACTTGGCTGAAAATTTTCTGGTTTGTTGCCCACACTTTTTGCATTATCTTACTGTATAGTAAAAATAGTTGAAGCAGGCACAGCATACATTTGGTATTATTAAAATATAAGCCCCAACTTTATTTAACTACATAAACAAGCATACATAACTGTAGTGGATTAGGGCATAACAGACCTTAAGGCCATTAGTTGGTGGGACTGGTCTGCTGCAATATAAGCCTTGCCTGAATCACTCCCTATTATAAGGTCATGCTACTTTAAGCTCTTCCTTGTAATACAAACCACAGGATTCAGTGCACTTGTGCTAGTATTTTCCATTTTTTTTTCGCTACTGAGTAAGTATGTGGCCAGACATATGAGGCAAGATACTTCTCAGTTACTTTTACATATCTACATTTTAAATCTGTCCTTCAGCAAGTCACTCTAGTTTTTGTGTCTAGGCAATGGAGAACTATTAAGTGCTTTAACAGTGAGTAGCCTGGTTTTTAATTGTTTTAAGAGGAAACTTTTTTCCATAAAACAATGCAGATGACTAGCTCACATGTGGATTTCTATAATTATCAAATGAATCCCATCACCATTGCACTAGGAGAAGACAAATGTTTTAGATGGAAAATGAAAAGGAATAAATTACCACACCTGAGAGTGTTAAGAATCAAAGCTGTTCATGGCTGTCCAGTTAAAGTTCCAATCCAGCAGGCATCCTGACAATATTAAAGAGCAACTGTAAAACTCTCTGAATGCCAGTTGATTTAACACTTTGCACTTGTGAATCTCAGGTCTAAGGCAAAGGAATTTGAGAGCATGTGGAAGCAGACAACATGCTCTGACAGCTAACTTGTTCCTAGAAAATCCATCAATATCATTCCCCAAAAGTAATCAGATCCTTACCACAGAATGATCAATAGCACATAAAAGATGTTTGGGATTATGGTGAAATTTCACTATAAAAGCTATCAGTTTATTTGTTAATATCTTATAATTTATTTATATATAGAACATCTACAGTTGCTGTTGCTTTGTTTTTTCTCAAAACTTAAAATTTTGCTTCTAAGTCAGATGTGTAGTAGTAAATGGATATAAAATGAAAAATTGCTCCTTTATACCTTATAATTTCCACTTTTAAGTGGATGCTGGTTAGTTACTTTCTAGTGAGTAAGAAACTTTATCACTAACAAAATTATTTTATCCTAGTTAGCATACCTTCAACTATTATAAATCAGAAAGCTAAAAAGGAAACAACTGCAATTATAACACTGAAGACCTGGAAATTCAAAAGACAGAAATAATAATGCTAAACTACAACATTTCATATACAGCTTCAGTAAGTACAAGACAAATGGACCTCATTTCAGTGGAGATGAAGGCAATAGGATAGTAATGTCTATGGAAACATTAAAAGAATGTTGACATCTACTTATTCAGATCAATTTCAATCTGCTTTTAAATATTAGAAGGAACAAAGTCTCCTATGGAATTCCTGCTTTGATATGGTTAAACTCACATCAATTGCCTAGGATTGTGAACTCTCTCCCTATTTATACTGGACTTGCTACAAGTAATGTAGCACGAGCTGTACCACACAGAGATCCAAGAAAGGTACTGGTAGCCTAACGGGTCTGGTTACAGTTTCCTGATCTGAAGCTGGTTAGTCTCAGGATAAGGTATATCTATTCTAATTTAAATGCTGTAAAGCCCCTGTGTTCAACCAGACCCTCAAAAAGACCCTGAATTACTGTCACCACTTCAGAGACTGTAGCTGATGTAAAAAGTAACTATATTTGGGGAGATTCTTTTCACATCGGGAATATTTCATTGGGATCAATGTTTTAGTGCAACATCTGAGTTTTAAGATCAGTTTAATATAAATATCCTTGTTTTAATTGATAATATCCATTTGGTCCTTACTTTGTCAGTGTGCTGTATGAGAAAGAATAGGTGGCTTGATAATCTTTGGGATGGAGTGGAATATTTTCAGTCATGTTTTTAGCTCTAAAAACTATGCTTCCTGCTCATCTGAAAAAAAACCTGTGGTTTTAATGACTGTCAGAGAACTCCATATAGGCAAATCATATATATAGGTTATTTTTGTATTTGACATAATACTCAAAAAGACAAAAACATTCTAAATGAGGTAGATTCAAGAAGAGAAAATTTGAAACTATAAAAACATTGGGCAAAAGTTATTTTATTTTTTTTTTAAACTAGTGATATACCTTGAGAATATTCCAAGTGATACATTAAAAAGCTCACCCATAGTCCATATTGAATAATCTGAACAAAGTGAATATAAATGTATCCAAAAAATCCATTAGAACTACAACAAAAATAGAATGGTAAATTTGATACGCTCAATCAAGCATTTATGACTGGATTAATTCCCACTAAAATAAAACAGACAGCATATGGAGAAAAGATGATATAACCTAATAAGCTTTATTCATTGAAAAATTATACAGAGGCCACAAAATGGAATATATGTTAAAAAAACTTCAGCTGTACATAAGATACTTATTACTTTTTTTAAAAAAATAAGGTAACATGGTAGGAAAATTATCAAGATTTAAATATAATAACTTTAAATTCTTATCCATATATTCTCTTTTCCACAAAGCATGGTTTGCTGATTACATGTTTTTTTCTCTCCTCCTTTTTTTTTTTATTACAGATCATTTTGTCATATTTAGTCTTAGTCTTAGGCATGGTATTTAAAGAAAAAAAATTATGCAGAGAAACACTTTGCTTAAGTATATCTGTAGGCTGATTTTTTTTCCTTCCAAAAGCAAAATGTCTTTCAGTAATTTCAAAACTTAATACAGAAGAGTTTTGCAAAGTTATGCAAAAGAGGAAAATTAACTGTAGCTTGTGATAGAAAACATATGTAAATAAGGGTACATTTTCCAAAGACCATTTATTGTTAGGTTCTATTGTCAACCAGGCCCTTACATATTTAAATGTTTTTCATATTAGTAGTATTTGACTAATATTTGTATTAATATATTCCAGTAATATTTACATTAGCATATCATACTAACAATTAATGATTCCAAGAAAGGTTCATTGACATAAGAAGTATCAGAGAAGAACCAGAAGACACTTACAGAGAAGCTAGATAAGCTTTATCTATTTCCACATTGAATATTTAATTAAAGAAATATGATTTTACTTCCTATGTGTCAAACTGTCATTTCCATAAATATTCTTGCATAAATCAATAATTTTAAGCTAAGATTTCGCCAAGAGGAAAATACAAGAAACATAAAATGCAGAAATATGAATTTAACATCTAGAAAAAGAGATACATGAACAGGAAGAAACAAAATTTCTGTTGCTCATAGCTGTCAAATATTCAACTTCAAAATTCAGTAGAATGTTTTTTAAAATCTGAGTATTTTATCATTGGAACAAATTGATTTAAATTGTTTTTAGTGAATCACACTCCAGCTTCTTTCAAATTAATGTTTAATGTTGTACAAGCAAATTTTTAAAACAGAGACACTACTTTGAGATTTAAGAATGGAAAAATTACATCAATATAACCATTATTTTAACTCTTGACTTACCTAAACTTTTATTACTATATTTTTTAGGCTTCATTTTTTGGGCCCTCTTCATCATTAGCTGTGCAGTAGAAATATCTTTGAAACCCCTAGGGAAAGAAAATAAATTACTAAATATTTCACATGTATTATGTTACACCAGACGCATATTATTGTATAATACACTTTTCAAACAGAGTACCAGTATATAGTACTTATGCATGGTATGAAACTTTCTGAACTATAGAGATAGCTGCAACTCTTATCTTACCATTACATTATTGCAACTTATTAGGATGGTTTCCCAGGCACTTGTAAAAGTAATTACAATAATTTTTACTTTGGTAGAAAACAGATATTCTTGAAAGGAGGAACTTAGAAAAAGCAAGCACTAGCAGCCAAGTATACCATACCTATTCTGGAAATCACTAGGTAAGCAAAATATTTTAACATACCATTCTTCTGAAATTTTCTCTTCTTTTTCAGACATAAACAAAAATTTATTTTTGTCCTTCCAGTCAGAAAGCTGTGACATTATTCCCTTGCCTGACCTGGAAACAAAGTATAGGAGCAGTACTGAGAAGTAGGCAAATAAGGAAGGGACTTGGGTGACTATTTTGCAGTCTTTGTTATTCTGCAACTGGTTCGTGCCTTTTAAAGGCACTTTTGAAGCTTGGAAATGATAAAAAAAAAAATAATCTCTTTTAATATTCCATGAAGGTTTTATCTTGGAGAGTAATAAAAGTCTGCCATCAATTTGAAATGTTTATATTTCAATTACTTGAAGCATATTTCAGTCCCTTCACAGAATGCAGCTGTAAAAGAAATCTCTTTTAATCTTTATCTAGTCTTCAAAATCTCTATTTCACAATCTATCTTGCCATATATGTGAAAAAATAGAAGTGTTATGATCTCTAGTCAAACCTTGATAAATAAAACTAAACACATATATTCTTACATTCTTAATCCTTAGTCAATGAAAAATAATAACTGAATTTAATATATTTGGTTTTAGCAAGTAAATACATTTTAACACCAGTAATATCACATTAACCAAAAGTAGCAAAAGCATCAGAAAATAGCCTCTTCTTCTCCTTTTAACTTTTGTCAAATCCAAATGAACTAAATACAATTAAAAAAGTAAATTATTTAACTTACCTGCTATGAAAATGGATATTTTCTGCAGAGTATGAATGTGGTCTGTTAGCACGCTGCCAAACTTCTTGGGGTGACAGTGGCAAACTAGCTGATTGTTCACTGGAATCTGAAGGCCTAGAAAACTTCTAAGTAAGACAAAGAAAAGGGTGCAGCTGATGGCCTCTGTAAAGTTGAGTTTAAAATGTGCAGGAAAACCTGCACTGGCATTTGCAGAGGCTATTACTATAACTGAAATGATTCTTAAAGGTGATATGTTCATTACAGACCTTACCTTCAACTAACTAGGACAAAAAGGTGACTTTAGTTACACTTAATGCCCCAAATATAAAACGTCCCCAAATATAATGAATTATACATTTATAAGACCCCTTTGTCCTAATTGTAGAAAATAAAACGCTAGTAATACTGTGCTTGTAACAAGAATAGAAAACCCTACCAAAACAAAAGCTAAAACTTCAAAGTTTATCAAATAACTAGCAGACATTACAGTTCGATGACCCTTAGCTGTTCTGAAAACATTCAGCTGCTGTCATATAATGCAGATCTTAGTATTTTTAAAGTAGTTTGTCAACTAGTAATTTTTAATCCATTGCCAAATGTGCAGATGAAGTACATCATCTTTTTTTTCTGCTACTGTGAAGTAAAGTGTTGAAATAAATCCAAAATAAAGAAAAACTAGGCAAATGAAAGAAAACCTAAAAGAAAAATTGCATCTGGAGATGAGGAGGAAGTCTGAGACTTCTAAAAGTAATTGTGTTTTTCAAGTCACTAGATTGTTGTATTAATCACTCCAGAATAGCATATCCTTAAGGAATGAATAAAGACTGAAGACTAAGATGTTTCTGTGACATGTTACCTTTGGCCAGTGCAGCTGGTTTGAGAGCAGGAGTGTTTTTGAAGGGAAACGGGTGGAATCTAGAGTTAGCCATTCCTTCTCTAATGCAGCCTGCATGAATGAGCAAAGTCATATAGTGCACTGATAAAATCAGTTTACTTTTGAAAACTTTTGCAAAGTCTCTTTTAAATTGTCCTACAGACTGTGTTTTCAAGTTGTATATCAGAACTGCCACCTGCAGAGCAATCATACTCAAAACACCTTTGGAGATGCTGTGTTTTACTGTTTTATTTTAAACAAATCAGATCAACAGTATTTGTGGGTTCTGGCAAGTTTTTTGTGGGGTTGATTTTGTTTTGTAAATAAGATGCATCCCCTGCTTCTCAAATTCCTGTAATTTTACTCCAACATTGTTAATAGACCCAAGTTATCACAAAAGACTGCCAAACTTTGAAAAGATACAGACCTAACGTACTTAAAGGCATAAAGAACATGAACAGTTTTGTGTGCTTTTTTTGCCTAATTGAGTATTTTATGTCCAGATGTAAGTGCCTGATTCTGTCAAACTTGCTTTCATTGAGTTGAACTGAATTTGGGAAGTTTTCACTGAAATTTGGAGTTAAAAAAGTGAATCCTGTATGAACTTATTCCTTCAATTAAGCAGTTTTATTTTTGATATAATGGAATAACTTGAAAACTAAAGTAATGGTTGGAATGAAGAGGGGTGACAGAATTAGTTGCTAACTGCTAGTACCTAAGGCAGAATTCAGTTTTCTTTCATAAAAACAAAATTCAGACTTTGGTTCAAACTCAACCTGTATATGACTTATTTTTCTTATAAATCCTTGAGTTTTTTTACCACATGTTCTTTCAATATATTCTGATAAGTGAGAGAAGTAAATCATTCCTACACAGTAAGTAAATACTGCTGAAGAATTTGGCTTGACTTACACAGCTCAGTCATTCAGGTTCTTATTTCATCAGCAAAGAGCCTGGGGTTCATTCTTTAGACAATTTATAAAACTGGACTACCTTTCTCCCATTCATAAAATATTGCAAATTGTACTGATTTCTGACCCTGAGAAATAACTTTGGATACCTTACAGTGTAGTTTGTGTAAACAGGACTTTGTACAGCCTTAACCTGGTGAACAAGAAGGTCTTCCAAGCCCTTTCAACTTCTGAGACACAAAAGGATCATATTCCAGATATTTTTTGATTTCAGGAACTTGTCTTTTAATTTGGTGGCTTGAAGATCACTCTTTCTACTTCCATTCTGACTAAGCTTTTAAAAATAATAAACTTTTATTTTATTTTCCATGTCTTAAAAGTGATCTTTGATTGCCTGCTTCAGGAGTTCCCTATTATTTGGTTACAGTATATTTTGGGTTTAATTTCTTTATTTAATAAATCTGGATAAATTCTATACCCTCATTATTAGAAGATAATGTCTCTTTACCATTTTTCCCTCCTTACCATTTCCATTAATGATAAATATACAACATTATCCTTTTTACTATACGTCCTCTCTTGAGTGGTTGTGTATGTTAAGAAATCTATATAAATAAACTGTGGAGGCATGCAACAAATAAAATGCATCACATTCTTTAACTATAACAATTACCTAAAACCCACTAACTCATCTCTTCCCAGTGATTATTCCTATGCTGATGACCACTGAGTGGTTGATTCAAACAATTTTCATTAAAAAAAAATATTCCAGAAGTAGACTGTAGCAAATCAAATCCCAAAGATAATAATTTAAATATGTGAAATTGGTACAGTTTGGACACAGAAGACTGACAAGTTCATACTTCAGCAGAGATAAAGTTACAACATATTCAAATTTACAACTGCCTGGGGTCTACGGGCAGAATGGTCAAAATGAATAGCTATGAAAAAGGGAGAAAATCTGACCAAAAACTTTCAGTGAAGATAGATATTATTCCTCCCTGTCCTCTTAAAATTTACTTTTCAATCGCACTATGCAAATTATATTTTTAGCTTTTCAGATGGGAGTTTTTCACTTATTTTTGAAGTCTGTGTGTACAATCCAGCCAGAGGTGAACTCCGTATTTGCAAAAGATGTGTCTTCAACTTTGCTGATATATAAAGATATATAAAAAGCAAATTTCAGAAGAATTGTTTTCCTCCTTTATTTCCAAAAGAATCAATACAGCTGAAAGATATGTAGATTTCCACTTGTACAATTTAAATGTCAATCAACTTCATTGGTGTGTACAATAATGTGTCCATTAATTCCCTGAGTACCTAAATGTCTTACATTAGCAGTGAATATGATCCGAGCTCTAGTGTCAGATTTCAGGCCAAGCCTGCATCCTAGCTATTTGAATTTTTACCTCTCTCATGAAATAGTTTGTGACAGAAATAAAAATAAAAATAAAAAGAAACATGAGAGATAACACTCAAGGATGTAGCCAATTTTTGGTACAAGAATCCCTTAACAGTACACTGATTGAATCCTTTTGCTTTATAGTTGTACTATAGCCAAATTAAAGTTCTTTACTTCTAATATTGATGTTGAAACTTTTCTCACAAGTATTTTCCTAGCCCAGCCCTTGCCATTTATTAATCTAATAGTGTATTTCAGTGTTCTAAGTGAAAAGCAGTATCAATGAAAACATAAAAGCATGATTCAAAGGTATAAATATGCAAGACAAAAAAAAGATAACTGATTTATCACTAAGCACATCTCCTACGACTGTGTAGCATATTACAAAAATATACCATACTGATGTTTGCTTTGTCCAACAAAAATAAAGACATAATTGATTTTCAAATATATGCTCTTCCACTATATTTTCCCCAGAGATTTTCACAGCACTAAGCTCATGAAACTTCTATCCATATCTCTCCCATAAACAGTCATAAAGTATAACTAATTAAAAGTTTATGACAGATTTACCAACACCTAAGGCTAAAAACAAGATCGGTTTCTATGGATATTTTCCACTAAGAGAAATAGACAACAATCTGAGAGGAATTACAAAGTAAATAAAATCATAGTATTTGATTGTATGGTCTACATAAACTGCAACAGACATACTATATTTATATTTCTTTCTAAAACCAAATGAAGGAGTTGATTTCATAAATACTGAAGAATAAAATGTAACTTTACACATGTTTAAATCACATATATAGTTCATTTAAAACACTTAAGTTTATCTGAAGATATCTTTTATATTTCTATATCCTCCATACTTTATTTCCAGTGTTTGCTTCAAAAAGTCTTATATTACTTCAAGTTTCAAGTTTAACAATCACATAAAACATACACAGACCTTTCTGTTTTTTGCTACACCTCACAGAAATAAATTCTTTTTCACCTCTGGTTTAAAACTAATTTACATAATTATCCCTGATACTGTTCTTCAACAAGAAGGAGGTGTGAATTCAGGTTTGGGCATTTCCTTCTGATTTTAAGTGATAAAACTTTCATATTATTAGCTATTTCCATTTATCCATTAGGATCAGGAACTTTTTATTCTGATTCACAATGCATTTTTTATCCTTTGAGAGATTATTCTTACAGCGTTTTTTCCCCCCTTTGATTTTGCAGCTCATTAATAAACTCTGGAGACTTAAGGATTCTTTTTCATGGCATATAGCCTTTTTCATATTATTATTCCTTCATTTTTCAAATATTTGCTCTATTGCTTCCTTTGCAAAATGTTATGACTATTTACAACAAATATTAAACTTCTGTGCTCTCAAAAGCAGAATTCAATCCTGCAACCACCAAAGTCAGTGAGAATGGTTCTTCTAACTTTAATTGGGCCTTAATGCTGAAAAGTAGTTTTAGTGCCAATGTTATTTATACAATCTAATCCTAGGCATCTTTTATATGCTCTGGATTACATTCTGGAGCTAAAGAATCTTTTATAATGACTATACATGTAATTTGGGCTATTCCGAGTCATATTTAAACCATGAACAAAAAACAGTTCACAGGACAAAGTGTCAAACCTACACTCAGCTTTGAAGTGCTTCTACAAGTAACAGTCCAAAATGTGAATAATGCCATCACATATTCCCTTTCATCTCTTTGAGATCAAGGAGGATCGATCACAAGAGTATAATAGAAACCAAACCAATCCCCAAAACTGTACTACAGTATGAAGCAGAGGATGCAAGAAGGCATTAACAAAAGAGGCTGAAGAGTAAAGCCAGCATTTGACATCTCCCAACTCTATTCTGGTCAGACCAAATATCTATCTACGTGAGTATTCTTCTTGCAGAAGAATTCAGTAGCAGATGCTTATGGAAA